CTCTTTGACCATGTTGAATAGGAAAAACCCCTTTTTGCTGCTCTCTAGATGAAAAACTAAACAGGGTGACAGATGTTGACATTCAGGATGCAGGTGTTCATTTCCAAGACAGGTGTAGGGGAGTCGCAAGAGTGTTACAGAGTATAGGAACAAATGCAGATACAATTGCAAAGGTAGTCATTAGATAGGGAACACACAGGGACATGCAGTATATTCATGTGGTGTATTATAACTCAGGGAAGAGAGGGAATTTGGTGTTAGAATACCCTTTTTCCCCATTGGGGGTCATTTCTGAATTGCCTGATAAGAAGGTTTCAGAACCAGGTACTGAGTCTTAGCATTCTCTGGCTGATAGCAAACAGCAGCAAAATCTGCTGGCAAAATCTTTCTCTCATGCCCACCCCACATATTCCGTCTGCTAGTGCTACCAGTAGCTCAAGTGGGAAGGATGAAGCTCTGCCCATTCATATCCAAACCCTGCAGATGGGGACTCAGTTTGGTTCCAAACATTGCAATTAGGAATGTTTTCAGTTTTAAGTATAGAAAAGTACATTAAAAAGGTTAAAGGCATATAAATGTTAGACCACTTGAATCCTTGCATGCTTATGCAACCTTTATTTGGCCTCCTGGCATACATGTGTTAGGATACAGTTTTTAATAATTTGATTACACCCTGTTTTTTCCACATGCCTAATTCCACGCATAGGGTGGATGATGCTAGGGGAAGGAAGCTGTTGTTTGTAGGATCTTTTCCTCAGTTGTTGCAGAGGTTGGAAGGTGTGTAGTGAATGAGGCAGGGAGACAAAAGATGGTTTCAAGGCTAACGAAGTTGAATTCCACCCTGAAGAACTGAATTCTTTCCCTGTGTCTGTCACAGAGCACCTAAGTGATACAGGGCAAATGACACCAATTTTTTCACAGCTGCTCACCAGTGATGTGTGTTACATTTGTGTGTTGCATTTTCTGGTTACCTACTTTGAAACACTGGAGTTCGCTTGGCACAAGTGCTGAGCATTCACAACTGCACATTTGGGAATTGTAATTTTGGCAGGTAAAATATTATTAAATGATAAGTACTTTGAACAATGAGGGCATAAGTATCTGAAGTGGGGTTTCTGAGATTAGGGGGTCTTTCTCCTTGATCCCTTTTCTATTTGAGTACCCCATCTGTGAAAGAGGGATAATCCCCCTCTCAACTCTTAGGAAACTTGTGGAGCTTATTGCATTTATGTTTAAGGAGTATCATCATATACCTGCTCGTGAGGAAACCAGTACATTTGTGCATTAAATAAAAGCTAGGACTGCCCACTGAATAAGGAGAAAAAATACTGAATTAGCTGCCCCTTCACTGAATAGGAAGGAATCCAGCAGGGGAAAAAAAACATGTGATCACATAATGCAGATCTATATCATTATGCAGTTACCTAAGGGGGCTTCTTTTACTATTGTTCAAGTGAGCTAATTCTAGTATTTTCAAACCCCGATGGTTGCCAGCAATTTTGGATGCTTTTTCTCTGAGCTTTGATTTATTAGCTATGTTTGTTTTTCTTTGTCACAAGGGGTAATGAAGAGGTAGATAAGCAGGCATCTAGTTTGGTAGCAAAGAGCTCGATTGAATTTGATCTGAAAGCAGTACTTCTGAAATGTAGAGGAAATGAGGATTTAACTGCATCAAAGTTTGTGTAGAAGAATTGGAGGCTTTGAGAGGTTCATTCCCCCCCCCCCGCGCAATCAAATTTAAACTTCCAAATGAGGAGCTGTATTTTCTGCTAAGGTTATAAAGAGTTTTCTTGTTTATAGTTTTCCTTCTGTGTCCCCGAGGAGAAAGATTATAAAGAGTGATGGCTCTGGAGTGCAGGAAAGCATAAAATGGGGCTGTGAGTTGATTAGCTTCATAGTTTCATAGTTGGTAGGGTCGGAAGGGACCTGAGCAGATCATCAAGTCCGACCCCCT